GAGTCTTGAAATTCACAGGCCATTGGATGTGACTAGAAGAAACCATCCTGAGGTAAACTAGTCACAAAAAGACAAGCATAGTATGCCCAGTTGCAGAGAGGGAGGAGTGATGAGCAAAGGAGTCAAGACCAGGCTGGCAAAGCCCATAAAAACAGCTGACCTAAACAGGGAGAAGTACATGGAACCCAGACTGATAGCTGGGAAATCAACAGAGGACTTACCCAGACCCCCTGAATGTGGATGTCAGTTAGGTTTGGGCAATCTATTGGACCTGTGGTAGTGGATCATTATTTACACCTAGCATATGAATGGATGTTTCCCATCCTGATGTGGCAATCTTGTGTATATGTAAATAAAGCTCTGTTGGACAATAGGGAAGCAAGCTAGGTGGGTCTAGGAGTCAAGGAGTATTCTGGGAAGGAGAAACACAGGGAGTTATGATGTAGCTGCCATAGGGATCAAAAGTCCAGACCTTTCCTCCAGTAAGAGAAATACTTAGATTAACAATTATGGGGTAAATACTTAAGTCAGTGCTAGCCAGTATGAAACAAAAGAAGGCCAACAGCTTCATAATTAATACAGCATCTTGTGTGTTATTTGGAGACTACAATGCGGCAGATATCAGGAGACTGGTGGGTAAAAAAAAAAAAACAAAGTGGCTGGCAAGGAAAAGGCTTCACTCAACAGGAGCCCATTCCAGATAGAGGGATACTCTCTCAACCTAGACCCACAGGGGATGACATATGCCCTGCTCCAAATGATTTGACAGACTTTGAAGATCCCCATAGAAGGCATCATCCTACTTGGTGAGCAGAAATGGGATGGGTTAGGGAGTTACTGGGGCTCAGGGAATGAGGAAACAGAGAGCAACTGAGATTGACATGTTTCTAATTTAAATTTTAAAAGTAAGGAAATAATTCATAGACTATTGTGAATTATAAGACCTGAAAGTTGAGAGAAAGACTGTAAAACACTATGCCCTGGTCATGAAAAACTGTGGCATTATTAACTCCCTGGCAGCTACAGTTGCTTACACTGGACCTGTACGTAAAGATTCTATCAGTAATGAGCGCTGGATAATGGAGGGGCTCTTGTGGGCCTACTTCCCTTCTAGACTGATGATTTCTGACAATTATGGTGAACAGAATATTGATTTTTTAATTGTTTAATTTTTGAACAGGATATTACATTAATATGTATACTCACTAGTGTACATACCAGGCTTCACTAGTTTTAATTCCATAGCTATTTAGACATCCCTTGTTAAAATTAATGTGTCATAAAACAAGTGAAATTTAAATAAACATTTGAAATGATCTTTAGGGAGAAAGTAGGAGGCTGACATGAACAAGAGGAAGGTAGGACAGGTGTGAGTCTTTGAGATGTAAGTAATTTTCAGAAATAAATTTTAATCAATTGAAACTAATGAAAAATGGACAAATATTTTTCTTTTCTAATAATATTCTGAGACATCTTTTTCACCCAAATTCTCTTATCAGGATCAGCTCTCATTAGGAAGTGTGCAGCTGTGACTGAGAATACCCTCAGTGTGTTAGTGAAACATTCAAGTGCCAGTTCTCCCTGAAGCTGAGCTCTGCTACCACTGAAAACACAGCCCTGAATTACACTTCAGCAGACACAGTGAGCATGTTCCCTGTGTGCCCAGAAACAACCTCAATGTGAGGATGCTCAGGACCAGCAGGGGGCGCGGCAGACCCAACTTTCACCAGGAAAGAAAATGTAGTAGGGGAAAGAAACTAGTGGAGAGTGAGGGAGTCCTCAGAGATCCTAATATTTCCTGGCCTGACCTCCGGCTGTGACCATGAAATATACATGGTGTAGCTACTGCAGTCAGACTCCAAACTCAGTAGTGTATATATTCTTGATTAAGGAATATTTCCCATATGTATTGAGGTCATTATTTGGGAAACTTATTGGAAGGGCAAACATCCATTGGACATACAGGTAAGAAGGTCACACATTTCCACACATAAGGAGGCAGACTTCCAGTCATTGGAATCACAGCCATCAGCAGCAGCATCTGTAATTCCAGCTGTAGTTTCTGTCCCCGGTGGGAGGGGTTTGCTCAGCTGGAATAGTTGACTGTGACCTGGGATCTCAGTCCTTGACGTTCCTGGCACAGTGTTGATCTCATGTAGCTCTGCTGTTGGAGAACTGGTCCCAAGGTGTGACACACACTGTGCCCTGTGCAGCCTCCAGCTCAGGGGAAGGAGAGAGGTAGAAGCTGGGGATAATCACACTTTATGTCTTTCACCACATTTAGGATTTCATCTCTCATTTTTCTCTGTGTAATTTTTCTAAAAGGAAAGGTGTTTAGTCAAATTTGGAATACCTAGCCTAATACATGAATTTCTGTCTTAGGAAAAGAATATAGAAAAAAGTACATTAAATCCAGTCTGTCATCGTTCTCACTCAGGATCCCTAAGGTAGACAAGATGAGATATCCTCATCCCTAAACAACTCCACTGTCCCTCACAAGTAAGTTCTGACAATGTTTCATATGATATCCTGATGCTTGGGCCCCTCCATCTGTTACCAACTCTCTGGAACTCACCAGGATCAACTCAGCACAGACCTTTCTCATGTTGAAAGCATGAGTGTCTTTCAGTAAGGTGTGATGTCCCATGATTATGTACCACACCTGTCCTGGTGTTCAGATTTACTCCCAGAACATTTCATTTCTGCTTAAGAACCAGAACAAACATCAGCTTTGAAGAATTTCATTTTACTATGGAGATTCATGAGATTAATGGTGGTTTCTCATAAGGATTCTCTTTCATTATTCAACCAGTTTTCTTTCTTGTATACTAGTGAAGGACTCCTGCTATGTGTATAGATAGAGATGATTGGATCAATGTCATATTAGTTAGTGAAACAAGAAAGGACATGAAGAGGGACAGAGACTTATTGCAAAGCCTGAAAAGGAACCATTGGGGCATACTGGGTATAAATATGATCATACTGTGTTTTATACATGGATTAAATTAAAAATATAAAATATGAACGGCAAAATATCATATTTACATAGTTTTACAATTTTCACACTCATGTATTCTTTTCTTTGTGTTATTCCCTCATAATTTCTTCCCTTCATATTCTTCCCCTCCTCGTTTACTCTACTAGACAACACACTTATAGTTCATCATGCATTTTTATTCATAGTTGTATGTAACATGCTTTATCTAAAAACTACTGATGAGAGTCTCATTTGATACCTGATTCCTGAGATTGCCTTAACTAATGCATTTATCTCTAGTTGTATTCTAACTGATGTAAGCTTAGTATTCCTTGTAGATGTATAACTTCTGTTGAGTTGTTTATATAAATATTCTTCTTGATGAGATCCTCTGTTGAAAGATAAATAGTTTATTTCTATAATTTTGTTATTGTGATATTGGTTCAGTAATCAAGGTGTTTACTTGAATTCTGAAGCATATTTGCTTTTGTTCATTTAGGAGAGTTTTTCAGTATACAGGCAATTATTCATTGCATATATTTTAAAGAGGCTGTAAATTTAATACTCAGTAGGTTTTAAATTTCTCATCACAGACACCATCATCACAGCCACCCTCTGAAAATCAATCTGATAACCTTGTCCCAAGTGGAACCACTGTCTCAGTCCTGACATCCTTTGAGACCTTAGGTCGTGATGTTTCTTCCTCAGCATCATCTGAGGTCCCTGGGAAGAAGGATGCTATACCTATTCACAGAGAGGATTAGGATGGGATCTCAGCATCCTGCTGCCTGACACAGGTGTCTGCCATCTTCTGCTTCAGCTGGACTAGGTCCTTATCTAAGAAGAACCCTGATCGTGAATATGTAAATCAGGTGAGTGTATGGTGGTAAATACAGGCATGTCTACAACAATAACAGCATATGATCAGAGTCCTCTCCACAGTCACTGAGCACACAGGTCCTCGCCATGGGATGGAGCTGGATCATCCTCTTCTTGGTGACAGCAGCTACAGGTAAGGGACTCCAAGTTCCAGACTTGAGGAGGGTCCATTCCCTCAGGGGACAGTGACATCCACTTTGCCTTCTCTCCACATGTGTCCACTCCCAGGTCCAGCTGCTGCAATCTGAGTCTGAGCTGGTGAAACCCGGAACATCTGTGAAGCTGTCCTGCAAGACTTCAGGCTACACCTTCACTAGCTATACTATCCACTGGGTGAAGCAGAAGCCTGGACAGGGCCTTGAGTGGATTGGACGGATTTATCCTAATGATGGTGATACTAAGTACAATCAGAAGTTCCAGGGCAAGGCCACACTGACTGCAGACACATCCTCCAGCACAGCTTACATGGAGCTCAGCAGCCTGACATCTGACGACTCAGCACTCTATTACTGTGCAAGAGACACAGTGTTGCAACCACATCCTGAGTGTGTCAGAGACCCTGCAGGGGGAGGAAACAGCCCTGGGACTGAGATTATAGAGAGGATCAGCCTGGAGATTTGGCCATAAATCATCACACTGAATGTCCCTTTGTCACTTCCCAGACTTAGAGGTTTTTGTCAACTTTTCAAAATGACTGAAGGGAATAAATCAGTTTGATTTCTGTTGCCCTTAGATCTCACCATACCTTGATCAGCTGTTTAACAGTGGCCTCATCCATGGATATTATTCAGTTTTTAAAAGAGGAAATATAGGACTAACTTCAGCAATACATCATGATATTCATAGCTCTTACATTGGAGGTTCTGGAAATATTTTTGGAGTAGCTATGAATGGGCTATAAATTTGATTATATCCCATACGAGACAAATCAATAGAAAGTGGGAAAATTAACACTTGTTTTATATCAAATTTTGTTTGCCTAAAGCAAGCAAAGGAAGTTTGTGCGAAGTGGTCCCCTTTGATTTTGAGGTAGCTGCTACATGGATATAATGTTAAGAGCCCCCTCACCCTTTGTAGAACTTCCATGACTGCATGTGAGTCAGGGAAAGAGCTTAGGATATTTTGTAAGGGTAGATTAACAACCATGGCTAACAAGGAAAAGTACATAAGAAATATTAGGGAGGAAGAGAGGTGAGGGAGACAGGGGGAGAGAAAGTCATAGAGCAATTATTTGCTTTAAATTAAGTCACTTTCCTGCAAGCGCCACAAAAACAATAATGTCATAGTCCATAAGAACACTTAGCTGTAACAAAATTTCTAATAGCTGAATCAATTAGTCAATTAAGAAATACCTTTCCAACTCTCCTTTCTAACTCAGGGTGACTATTACAGGGTGCCTTTTGAGATATATGCCACAGCCACCAAGAAATTCCTATATCACCAGGCAGAGTAGAGAGACAGGACTGCATAAAACCACAGCAATACACACGAGGTATCAGATTCCCCTCCGTTTTGTGGTAACCAGAGACTAGGGAAATTAATGTCACAAATGCCAATGATATTCACTAACACAACCCAAACACCAATATATAGCATATATGTAAAAGCATTTTGTGATGACTTTAGAATTTCACGAGGAAAAGACTCTGTAATATTAGCATTTATTTAATATATTATATATATCTATCTATATATGTGTATTCTATAATGAGATCAAATTTGTGAACGTGTGCCTATTAAACTTTCCCACAATGCTGTGTCCAAGCCCAGTTTCAACACTGTAATTTTTTTATCATTTTTTGTTTTAATTTTAAATAGCTTGTTTTACATGTCAATCCCAGTTCCCTCTCCCTCCCCTCCTCCCGCACTCCCCTTCCCCCCCACCCTCCCACCCTATTGCCAAATCCTTCCACATAGGGGATATCTAGAGTCTGTCATTTTACTCTGGGTAGGGTCCAGGCACTCCCCTAAGAGTCCAGGCTGAGAGAGCATCCCTCTTTGTGCTATAGGCACACAAAAACTGTTTGTATACCAGGGATAGACACTGATCCACAGCTCAGGGTCCCATAGGTTGCCCAGGCCTTCTTGCTGACACTCACATTTGGGGGTCCAGATCAGTCCCATGCTGGCCTCCCCACTGTCGGTCTGGGTTCCAAGAGCTCTCGCCTGTTCAGATCAGCTGTCTCTGCTGGTTTTGCCAGCCCATTCTTTGCCAATTTGCTCATCACTCCTCTCTCTCTGTCACTGGGTTTCTTGGGTTCAGTTCAGTGATTAATTGTGTGTTTGCCTCTGCTTCCATCAGTCACAGGATGAAAGCTCCCGGATGGTTATAGACATCAAGTTCATTATCAGGAATGGGCATTCGAGGTGGTCTCTGCACTATTGCTTAGATTGCCAATTGGTGTTATCCCTGTGATTTAATGTATACTTCACTATTCATTCATTCATTTTTACATTAGATCACCTTGAATTATCAAAATGTAATTTTTTAGTTTTTAAGATTCTATGAACTTACTGTGCAAAATCTGGTAAGATAAGCAGTGGAGAGTACATGTAAAAATGAAAAAATATAAATTAATATTTTCAATGGTTTTACAAATGAATGATGAATACTATTTTAGTGAAATCAGTGTCCTCACGACTTGCTTGTCCTTCAGGCATTGGCACTATTAACTGCTGCCTCTAAGGTCCACACACACCTGAGAACAAGATATAGCATAAAGATATGCAAATATGTCCTCCCTCTGCTCATGAAAACCGGCTCTGTCATGACTCTGCAGGTCAGGCAGACGACTCTTGCCCTGTCTTTCCATTCAGTGACAAGCACTGAAGCCATGACAATCAACATGGGGTTGAGGCTGCATTGGGTTTTTTTGTTGCTCTTTTAAAAGGTAGATGACAAGGGATACTTAGTGAGGGAGTGGACAAGAATTGGAGAGATAGTAGACACGTGTGACAATTTCTTGATCAATATCCTTTCTTTTTGGAAGTGTCCAGTATGAGGTACAGCTGGTGGAGACTGGAGGAGGCTTAGCGCAGCCTGGAAAGTCCTTGAAACTCTCCTGTGCAGCCTCTGGATTCACTTTTAGTGATGCTGCCATGACCTGGGTCCGCCAGGATCCAGAAAAGGGACTGGAGTGGGTTGCTCGCATAAGATATAAACCCAATAATTATGTAACCTATTACTCAGATTCGGTGAAAGGCAGATTCACCATATCCAGAAATGATTTCCAAAGCATGGTCCACCTGCAAATGAACAACCTGAGAACTGAGGACACGGCCACTTATTCCTGTCGTAATGACACAGTGAGGATTCTTTGGTGTGATCCCAAACACCTCCCTGACATGTTTACGAATCCCGCAGGGGGCGCTCAGCACACATAAGGCTCAGGTTCTGACAGAACTGATTTTTTTCCTGTTTTATCTGATTGCGCTCTCCATCTGCATGTTTTGTGGGAGATCCTTTTGGCAATTATAGACCCTAGGAATTTATCATGCCACTGAAAACGATGAGTTCTGCTTTGACAACCATTCTTAAAGCAAATATGTCACCGAGTCCTACTTGAACAAATGCAGAAAGAGTCTATGAGGGGAGAGTGATTCTTTCTGGTCTTCAGGATCAGCTGCTGTGGAAGCTCAGGAATCTTAGGTGGATTTTCCCTCATTTTGTGGTTGGGGCAGACCCTCGACTGGAGCAGTGTTAGTAATCAGAGGGAGTCAAGTGGAAGGGGATCCAGACTCAGTCTCAGGAAGCACCTTGAGTTCTCCAAACCACTCTCCTTTCTGGTGGGCTCTGCATATAAGGTTAAGAAGTGATTAAATTGTTATTTTTAATTAAAATATTTTCATTACAGCACTCATCATGGTGTCTTCTGCTTCTGTGTCGATTTAGATAATCCTAGTTTTGACCTCAGTGCATTAACTCAGAGCTCAGTTGCTCATGTGGAGCTAAGGGTTGGCTGTTGTGAGTTTTGGGCAGTGTCCGTCCTGTGTGATTCTGCTGTGGATTCTCAGATTCTGATCTCGTTGCCCTTGGTTAAGAATCCATTGTCACTATTCTCAGAAGTTTCCTGAACAATCGGCTTCCAAGTCTCAGAGAGTGGGCAAGTGGTGATAATCTGAGTGTATGTTTCTAACAACATTGGAAAAATATTTTGGAAAAGTCATTTTGATCATATGGAAATTCAGATAGCCACTTGCAAATGAAAAATTAGTTTTCTCTGAGGAAGTGTCACTGGTGAAACAGACCACTGTCTGGTATATATCCATGGCAAGCAGTAAGTTTCCTACACAAAATGGACTCAGTGTCATCTTGGGTGGTTCTTTGCCTTGTAATGTTAAATGAGGACTTTGTTGTTTGTTTATTTGTTTTGCCATACAGACTCTTTGTATATTATGGTTTCATCTTTTGAGTTTTTATGGGATTCATGAGTGTGTGAAAAAAACCGATTATAACAAGAGAGTTAATATAATGAAATTCTGAAAGAAATAATTTCTAAATATAACTCCTGTAGGACAGCTAATGTACTCTGCTATTTACATTCACATAATTTATTTGAAGTTCTGGTTCAATTTACTGGCAGAATTGAAAGCGAGTTTGAAATTTTACAATTAAAACTTTACCTCATATTCACAGCCTTCCTTTTCCCGATACCCTGTGTGCAGCTCAGGCCTTTCACAGAGCACACACCTGCACTGACAACCATAACCTCTCTCATTCATAGGCCCCATGTGGTTCACCTGCTACAGTAGAACACTTGGATTTGCCAAATTGAAGAACCATAAACAGGTCGGACCTCTTAGATTCATATATGTGAGATGTGTCTTTACTCAACTACAGTTACTCAAGTTTCTCTAAGAGACAATCCACCAACCAACAAATATGAGTTTGTGTGTATAATATCAATGACATCATACTAGGAATGATTTCTGGTGAGTGTGGTTTCTCTTGACCAATTATGTGACAGAACATTTACAATAGTATGCCTAATTCAAAATGCTTCTTTTAATATTCTATGTAAGTACAATGATGACAGCAGACATCATAGATATACCAGGAGAATCTGGGTTCAGTTAATTCTCACCTGTAATTATGTGGCTCCCAAACTGAAAATATGCTCTTAATCTCCAGGTGAAATTGGAGACTCCCTACATGGCTGATTCCAGCAGTCTACTCAGATAGAATTGCAGAGGTGTGTATAGAAGTAATACTGTTGAGTCATTTCATGAGTCTGGTGACAGGGTGTCAGTATCAGTGTCTGTTTGTCATTCATAAGTCAAACATGGGCATATTTAAAAGAAGCCATCTATACATTGACATGTCCAAATATAAATGTATTATGTGCATTATTTTATGAGAATATATGTTGATGCTTTTTACCAAGGTACATGGTAACTTACAATATCAGAAATGACTCTGCAACTGTCACAATGTTTAGATCCTTTGTTATTGCCAGGAAAACTGCAGAACTTGTCACTGTTTGTGCCTGACAGGGACCAATTGTCCTTGTCCTTAGGTACCACTACAGATGTCAAAACTTGGCCTGGTGAAGAATTCAGAGATCTGGTCATCACCTGCACTGTCCCTGCTTACTCCATCACACTCTGATACATACTGGTGTTGAGTTTGTCCCAGAAAAGAGGCTGTGGTCCTGGGAGAATGAAGTTATCATGGAGTCACAGAAAACAGGTAATTCTTCTTCAGTTTCATCCTCACCTTTAGAAACCCATCTGAGCAAGAGTTGTCCTCAAGACTGACATATGTGTTAGAAATGACAGCCACATATTCTGTGATGTCCATACTGAGGGACACCATGGTCTGGCAAACAGCACTCGAGCTGTAGGCTCAGGAAGAGCATTGGAGCTCATCTCCATAGGAGTCCCACAGCAGACTGGAACTCAAGATCAGCCCAGGAGCAGGTGCAGAGAGTGTCTAAGCATTTGTTTTCTTTGGGACCTTGAACTTCCCCCAAATCTAATGTTTTCCCTTAAAAAACCCAAAACCTCTATATGTTGACCTATTAAAATGGAACAAAGTTTTAGAAGTGGCTGTTTTCTTTATAAGTACACATATTCATTATTACCCATGCAGTTTGCCACTTATATGAGGAGAAATAACCCTGCCATTGTCACCAGTGTTAAAATCACTGAGCAATGATGAGGTTACCTGATTTCATTCTGATGAGAGACAGCACATTACTGGGATTCTATCTTTAATCTTTGGCATTCAGACAGGAGCCCATAGGCAATCAAGGCTCAAGGACTAAAACTACAAAAGTTCATATCTGACATGGCTCTGTCTATATTGGTGTGTACCTCAGTCCCAGAAACAATCTGGACTTTTCCTCTGAAAATAAATTTCTCTTTTTCTTAACTTTAATTAATTGAAACAAACAACTAAATATTGTTCTTTTCCAATAGAATTCTGAGACCTCCTTTTAACCCAAACTCTCTCATCAAGATCAGGTCTCAGCAGAAAGTGTAAAGCTGTCATTGAGAAATCCTTCAGTGTGTTAATGGACACATTCAATGACCAGTTCTCCCTAAGTCTGAAATCTGCTACCACTGAAGTTATCCCTGCATTACATAGCAGCAAACACAATGAGCAGGTTCCTGGTGTTCTCAGAAACAACCTCATTTTGAGGATGCTCAGGATCAGCAGAGGGCACTGCAGAACTCACCAGAAAAGAAAATGTAGCCGGAGACACTAAGATCTGGAGAGTGACAGAGTCCTCTGAGATCCAAAGTTTTCCTGCCGTGACCACAAATAACTGCAAAGACAATGCAAAATACTTGCAGTAGCTATTGCGAGAAGACTTCAGTCTTAGTATAGTAAAAGTTCTTTGTTTAGTAATATTGTACATATATGTTTAATCATCAGATGTGACCCTTATAGAAATGACAAACATCCACACACATATAGGAAGGAAACGATTTTCAAATAGACATCATCATCACATCCTCCAGCAGCAGCGTCTAAATGTATCTGTTACTTCTTTCCACTGGAGGAGGGGTTTTCTCATTTGGAATATTGTACAGTGACCTGAGATCTCAGTCCTTGAAGTTCCAGCCATAATGCTGTGTCCTTGTAGCTGTGCTATGGGAGACCTGATCACAAGGTGTGCTACACTGCCCTGTGAAGCCATACCTCAGTAGGGAGAGAGAGGAAGAAAATTGGGATAATCACACAATCTGTCCTTTGCTGAATTTAGGATTTCATGTATCATTTTTCTGTGCATATTTTTCTAAAAAATGAGATATTTAGTCAAATTGGTAATACCCAGCCTAATATGTGGTTTTAGTGTCTTGGGAAAAGAGTTTAGAAGAAAGTACCTTAAATCTAGACTGATCTCATTCTCACTCAGGACAACTAAGAGAGAGAAAATGAGACATCCTCATCACTACACCACTGCAGTGTCCTTCACAGGTGAATTCTCACAATGTGATATAGGAGATCGTGATGCACAGGCCCCCTCCATCTATTCCCCATGCTCTGTAAATCAGGGAATATCAGCTTACTCATGGTCCTTTCTCGTGTTTAAAGGATGAGTGTCCTTCAATGCGTTGTGATGTCCTGATTTTACGTACTGCATCTGTCAGCAGGCGATGGCCACACCTCAGCCATTCAGGTTCCTAAGGAACAGGTACAAAGACAGAACAGCAAGTGAGGTCACCACATCCATCTGGAATTTCTTCCTTTCACTGACTCACATATCACCCTGCTAAATTGGTGAAGACCATCAGAGAAAAGATTTGGTCATCAAAGCACTCAAAGCAGAAGGGACTTCAGATCATCAGCTCACTGCATTTAGCTGCTTTAAATGAAGTCACTTTCCTGCAAGTGCCACAGAAACAATCCTAGTCCACAAGAACTCTTAGCCATAAGAAAGTTTCACTAATAGTTGAATTGATTAGTTAATCAACCAATTACTCTGCAACTCTCCTTTCTAACACAGGTTGACTATTAGAGGTTGTCTCTTGAGGCATATCCCACAGCTACCAAGAAATTCCTATATCGCCAGGCAGACTAGAGAGACAGGACTACATAAACCCATGGCAATACAGACCAGGTAACAGATTCCCCTCCATTTTGTGGTAACCAGAGACTAGGAAAATTAATTTCACAAATGCCAAAAATGTTAACTAACCCAACCCAAACACAAATATGTGACATATTTGTAAAAGCATTTTGTGATGACTTTAGTATTTCACAAGGAAAAGACTCTGTAATATTAATGTTTATTTAACATATATATTATACATATCTATCTATCTGTATATGAGTATTCTATAATGAGGATATAATTTGGGACCTTGTGCATGTTAAACTTTCCCACCATGCTGTCTCCAAGACCAGTTTCAACACTCTAATTTAATGTATGCTT